AACCTACCTTGCAGAACTCACTGTCTAACCTTTTCCACTTTCCCCTGGATTACTGACAGCTTCTCAGCGACTAAATTCAAGCTTTTCGCAGGCTGCGGGGTCAGCACTGTTGCCTCGCATCCGGCAACATCACTGAGTCGACCACCACAACTAGCTTGAGAGGAGACCCTTTCAAAGTAAATGTGAATGACGAAAGAGTGGACGCAAGGAAATTATTCTTCAGCGACAGACTGATTAACGCATGGATTGCTCTGCCAGTGGCCGTCATCATGTCCTCATCCATGGACGCATTTAGAAGGATACATGACAAATACAGGGTTGAGTCTCACCTCAGTATACGAAATGAACAAATTTCTCCCTTCTGTATCACCCTTCGCTAAACTTATATATTGGAAAGTGAACTACTCCCTCTGTTTCAATAACATTCGTCGGATGACGAAGTGCTACCCAACACATTCTGACTGGAGCATGAGCATTTGTTTCCATACCACTTCAACCGTTAAATAACGCGTTTCGATTATTTCACAAGTTTGCCACAACATGCATATATGCAGTGTATACACTGACACACATAAAGGTATTACACTCATGCTACATGTAATTATTCGGCCACTCTTATTTCGAACTTTCCTTATGTGTTGATAATTTTTGTGACGCTATTGTAACCAACTTCAACGGCGTTCGCCTACCTTTCCTTTAATAAACCTTGACTAAATTGGACGTGATCTCCAACACATGATTCTGTATTGGTTCTAATCCGAGTAATATAGAGTATGCAAGACTTGCACTGATAAACTCTTGTCATTCAGGGAACATTTATTCCCCTAGTTTAGTCTTACCTCATTGCGTAAAGTCTTCCAGTGTTCTGCATTAATGGTTGCATGTCTACGAAGTACCTTGGACTTTTAGTCTGACCTATACAGCTACGAGCAACCTTGAGCTATGTCGTATACACCCTAAAGGGGTTTTGGGCTGATGATATTTGATGGGGTTTCTCCGCTTTAGCCTTGTAGTTACTAGGCGAACACTCGCATCCATGCGTATTTTAAACGTTGCGGAAAAAAACGAAGCGGCGAAAAATATCGCAGCAATACTTAGTCAAGGGCGAGCTACCAAGGTATACACACTTAGTAATATACATTATTTCTAGAGAGAAGGTCTTTCAAAATTCAATAAAATCTATGAATTTCCCTGCCGAGTGAACGGCCATGATTATCATTTTGTTATGACATCGGTTTCGGGACACCTACTTAATTATGATTTTACCCAGTGTTTCCGATCTTGGTAAGCGAGCATTCTGAGTCAACCATTTTAGGCAATCATGTGACCCCGCAGTTCTGTTTGAGGCTCCGATTGAAAAGAAATGCTCTCCTGACCTAGAACCTATTAAGGTATGTTTAATTTTGATTGCCTGCCGTTAAGCTCCCTCAAAGTCGATGGATCCCTCTGCTCCCAAAAAGGTTTTGATTAAATTGTGTCTATTAGAATAGACTGCCCAATATATTCGGAAGTTTGATTTAAATTAACCGACACCCCTCTAATAAGGCTTGTGAACACCCTCCCCTAAAACCATGTTCGTTCTGCATCTCAGTTTCTTAAGTTCATCCCTCCGTATGCTTCTATCGTCACAGATCTGGTTACGTTATTTTCACTGCTACTCCACGTCACTTGATCTCCGTAGTTAAACTCAACGCTCAGAGGCACACTTTACCTCAAGAGCTAACCTTGCCGATTGTCTGACCGCTAATCGATATTCGTCCTGGCCCATCATAGCAAAAGCATTTCGTGTTAAATTTGCCATAGACAGAAAGCAAATATGCTCCGAACGGGTAGTCCACTTCACTAAAAGACAGGTGGTCCGAGCCCGGTTGAGATAAGACATGGGCGTCATTACGAAAGATACGGGTTGTTGGGAACAGCGACCACCCCTATCATATTTCTGTCGGCACTCCGCTGTTATCTTGGCCTGACCGGGTTCCTACCTGATAACTGTTTTCCTGTTAGTAACCCACGACCCTAGTCAGAGGTCATTTAGGCTGCAAAGACAACAGACTGACGCGTGCTTACCTTTAATGACTGTTAAGGTAGTTTCAAGATAAACGGCAAGCTTCAACTCATGTACGCTATGCACGTTAGAATTTAGGAACGGTATGGCGCAGGTATTTGATATTTTGGCAGTGTTTGGTACTGAACTCGTACCTTATTGTTACACATAATCGGTACACCATCGCCACTATTTTCATTTAAAATTTTAGTCAAAGATGCCAGTGAACAGAAATTTTCATTCTTGACAGGCCTAGTAAATATATTATTTTTATATAGACCATGCGTCTCTTAGTCTGTTAATATCTGTTTGGCATCCCACTTTTTTTTTAAAAAAACCTAGCTTCCCTTGCTCCGTTTGTAAGCGCATCAATGCTGTCTTTGTCCGCCACGACTACGTATTTTCGCGTCTCTACCGCGAACATCCTTGAATGTTGAAGGCCTCATTTTATTGCCTGTACCTAGCGTACACTACAGCGTGAAGTTCGCCATTGCACCAAACTCATTATTTGGACGGATTGTGATCGTGAAGGAGAAAATATCGGCATGGAGATCGTCACCGTATGCCAAGAAGTAAAGCCTTCAATCCTGGTGTCCCGTGCTAAGTTCTCCGAAATAACCCCGCACGCTATTCATCAGGCCATAAACAACTTGACAGTGATGGATGAGAATATGAGTCTAGCTGTAGACACTCGCCAAGAGCTCGATCTTCGTATTGGTGCTGCTTTTACACGATTCCAGACTCTCAGGCTTCGACGGGTTTTTCCTCGCGCTCTGGCAGAACAGCTGATATCGTATGGTTCGTGCCAATTTCCTACACTGGGTTTTGTTGTCGAACGATTTCGTGAGGTGGAAAATTTCGTCCCTGAGCCCTTCTGGAAAATTGTCGGTAAGCTTCATTCTATTGCCCTACTTCCATCACTTACTTTAGCACACTTCAACCGACAAAACACGCAAACAAGTTTTGCTTGGAAGCGGTAAGACAGCGTTAGCGTCCTTCATCATTTGATTGTAGAGGTCGGCTGTTTGACCGTGACTGCTGTTCCGCCTACCATCAACATCTTCTAGAGGTAACCGAGTTTCGTCCTATACACGATCTCTTTACAGAATCCATTTGGCCAAGTTATTGATGTTCAGCAGCGTCCAAAATCCAAATGGCGACCGTTGCCGATGGACACTGTCGTAAGTCAGATTAGAAGTCTTTTATTCAATCTGCGGCGGATATTGTCAATTATACGAACCCGTAGGCTATTGTTTATTTTTTTTCGTAAAATGCAGCCTGGTCAGTCTAGACCTCGTGAAACTGTTTTTTTTTCAGGCCATCAAAGCGTTTCCTTAACTCGTACATCATGGACACGAAAAGTGTTGACATAAAAGATCTTTTGCCATGTCTGTGCTGTTCGGCATGTCCAATCGCTCTGAAGCGTTATATTCAAGTTTGTAGGGCGTCTTCTTAATCAACCACTATGTGTTATCAGTGCGTGTCTGACTGCTTGTAAAAAGTCCACTTGTCGGATTTTTTTATCGTTTATGAGTACTTGGCACTTATCACTTTCACTCTCACTGCCGACTTCGCTGTCTATTGAATTTTCTTACGTCATTTCGGTTGACCGTTTTAGGAGATGGAGAAACTGGCCGCTCGCAAATTGCGCATCGGTGCTAAACAGACCATGCAACTGGCTGAGAGTCTCTATACGCGCGGTTTCATTTCATATCCGCGCACAGAAACGAACATATTTCCTGCCGAGTTGGACCTTGTTCCCTTGGTTCAGGCACAAATTGAAGACTCGCGGTGGTCAGGTACGTAGACAGTGTTACGAGGCACCATGTTTTGCACTGTCTCCTGGCATCATCCGGTTTCTACCGCCTGGACAGCCAGGCACCCTGGCGTCTGGACTTTTACAAATTAGAATTATTTATTCATTTTTACCAACAGCCTTTGCACAGAATTTATTGGCCAGTGGTCTCCGACCTCGGGCTGGTAAGAAATCGGACAAGGCCCATCCGCCCATCCACCCACTCAAATGCGGTTCTGCCCTCCAGGCAAGTCCTGAGATAATAATGGTTTACTTTCAAACTGAATGAAAAACAAGTAATTGTAGCATACTTTGAACATTGCAGGGCGCGGACGCCCGTCTCTTCGAACTGATTGTTCGCCACTTTCTCGCCTGCCTTTCTGAGGATGCGAAAGGTGCAGAAACAGCGGTGACAATATGCTTAGGAAGTAATGAGCCACCCACACGTCGACTAAACAGCGAGGATGGCGAACTGTTTGAGGCAAAGGGACTCGTCATTCACGCCCGCAACTACCTGGATGTGTACGTTTATGAGAAATGGAGCGAGCGAGACATGCCGGAATTCACTTTGGCTGAAAACGTTACTCCAAGAGAAATTCAGGTACTTTCACAAACTCTCACTTCAACTCGTCCTTTTTATCTTCAAGTCCGAAAAAGTCCTGCGGTCACCTCTCTCATCCGTTAGCCCAGACTAAATTCCAATCATGCAACTGCACAATAAAATCTCACGAGAGACATTGCGACTCTTTAGTCCTAATGATTAGTATGGCTGTCTAGGCGTTTATCTTAACGTTTAGCCACAACTGACCCGGCTGCCGATGCGCTGGCCCAAATCGAGGATCACACTGGTTCACGGCACACGTTTATTGGGCATCGCAGTCCGCGTTCAATTCCCTCGTCGGTTGACAAGCTCGGACAGTCGGCAGGTGCCTGAGAGATGGAAGGGTGAGTACAGCCGACGTTGGGGAATCCATCCTCACGGCAAATCAACACATTCCTCATTATAGCCGATCTGACGGACGCGGATTTATCACGATCCGCCAAGAGTCGTGATTTGGAAGGTTGCCATTTGACCCTTGTAAGATCCATGATCCGCATAACTGCGGTCATAGGGCAGTTCAGCCGAGCGCCTTGACTCAGCTCTACCATGGGAACTCGATGCTTGTGCGAGGAGAAAGAAAATAGGGTCTGCGCTGTGTATTTCACTCCGTGGATTATTTTTGAGGTGAAAGTCTAAACAATTCTGCCCAACCTCTGCGGCAGGTCTCTCTACATAATATTTAGTCCATACGTGGTTCACCACCGGACTAAGGTGGTAATGGTCGTCGTTATCGTCTTCCGTACAGTGAATGACGGATCTCTTGAAATGTTGGCTGAAATTCTGAAATGCGTTTTCGATTGGGAAGGTTTACTTGGGCGCCGTTCTGGTACTGATTATCTTGCGGCATAATCCTATAGCATTTCAGACTTGGCAGGATGTCAGTTTTGGAATACACTGCTTTCCAATCGCCTGTAGAAACCGCACTCGGTAAAAAAATGACTACTTAAGTAGCATGCGCTTGTCCCGTTGATTTTCGATGGTCTTGCAACTTCAAATGTATTTTATAGTAAATACAAATAAAAATATACTTTCTTTCAGTCGTTTGATGGGGAATCACGCCGTCTTTATATTTTATACTTGAAGAAGTAGTATACTTAGGTGTTAACAAAGTTTTCTTATTCCCGAATAATTCGGACCCTGATCAGTCGTTGCATTAGTGCATAGTGATTTCAGTCTATAAGATGCATGCGTTCCCCATAAATAAAATCGCACATTCTCCCATGCCTTTAAGCAAATACTATATAGAGTCCATAAAATTTTGCAACGGATGCGGTTCATGTCGTACATTTCATGAGGAGCAGTGATAAACGTACAGGTACGATTCTGCTTGAATAAGCATTGCACGGTCTTAAGCATTCTCATCTTAAAAACATTTTTAACACCCAATTGTACTCCTTCCTCGAGTATAAAATATAAAGACGGCGTGATTCCCTATCAGACGACTGAAAGAAAGCATATTTTTACTCTTAGTTACTATAAAATATATTTGAATTTGAAAGACCATCGAAAATCAATAGGAAAAATGCAGGCTACTTAAGTAGTCGTTTTTTTACTGACTACGGTTTCTACAGGAGATTAAAAGGCAACAAATTCAAAAGCTTACATCCAGCCAAGTCCGAAATATTATAGGATTGTGTTGCAAGATAATCAGTACTACAACCGCGCCAAGTAAACCTTCCCAATCGAAAACGCATCTCAGAACCTCAGCCAACATTTCATGAGATCGGTCACTCACTGTAGGTTCTTCATTATTGATAATCTGCAGAGCTCTCTTAGTGGCTGAAGACGGCTAATTTTTTTCTGCTGTGACGTTTTAGATGATTGAAAGCCAGACAACAGCACCTAATCTTCTGACCGAGGCTGATCTTATCGGCCTAATGGATAGGCACGGCATCGGGACTGATGCTACCCATGCCGAGCACATTGAAACCATCAAACAACGCCTGTACGTCGGCCTGCAGGACAACAAGTTCCTGGTGCCCGGGCAACTTGGCATGGGCCTGGTCGAGGGTGGGTTCTTATTATCTTGCCAGGCAAACGCTTTGGTGTTCACAGCGAAAAAGTCTTCAGTTCTTGTATCCATTGTTTGGTAACCCGAACTTAGATTTTATAACGCCATAGGTATATAGTCATAACGGTTTCCTCTTCTTCATCGTTTTCCGACGGGGGCCTTACGTATACTTGGTGCGGCTGTGATCATGCCTGATCCAGCCGGCCTCAATTATGTCACGTACTGTACCTCTCCACGCGTGACGATTTGCGGCAGTGGATCTGGAGACTTCGAGCCATGGTCTTCTCTAGCGATGGCCAGGGGTGGCCGGAAGCAGTATGAGACTGAAATAGCTACCTCCGTCGAACAGGCCTCGAACGTTGGTGACACTCGAGAACTCCACCAACTTCTCCACTAGGTTAGCGGTAAGCCCTCTGCACATGAGTGATTCTGTCGGCGGCATGAATGGCGGCTTTATTGCTGACAACTCGGCCAAAGTCTAGCGCTGTCGTGAGCACTTCGAGCACCATCTCACCTTCAATACCCAACCCACCTTGCCCTCCTCTGCAACGTCGTTCCTCCCAACTTATGCAGTGCCATGCGATCCCCCTTCTAAAGTATAAGTTGCCGATGCCATACGAAAGTTACGCAACAATAAGGCACCCGGAGAGAACGGTATACCCACTGAAATCTACAAGTCTTATGTCGACACTCTGGCGCACTGGCACCGTGAGGTGATTGAACAAGCGTGGCGAAACGAGGTCGCTCCTGATGACTGGGGCTTAGGCATCCTTGTACCTATCCTCAAGAAGGGAGATAAGACCAGGTGCGAGAACAACCGCGGCATAAGCCTCATCGGTGTTACAGCGAAGGTCTTCGCCATTGTCCTACTCAAGCGATTCCAGGCTGTGCGTGAGTCCAGGACGAGGCCCAACCAGGCCGGATTTCGTGCTGGACGTGGATGCGCGGACCATGTGTTCACACTACGGCGCACTCTCGAATTTCGCCATAGCTACCAGCAACGGACGGTCGTCTGCTTTGTTCACTTTGCCGCCGCGCTCTATGGCGGATAATGGCGCCAAATGGTGTACCGCCAAAAAACATCGCCATGATCAAAGTCTATTATTGCTCCACCACCACGCGAGTCCTGGTCCGCAACAGTCTTTCCCAACCGTTTGGTATTCGATCAGTTGTTCGACAGGGTTGTACCCTGTCGCCCATTCTGTTCAACTACACTGTTGACGGGATTCTTGGGAGGGCTATACACGAAGGTGACGGACACCCGGACACCGACTGACTGATATCGACTGCCTATGATATCGCCTTACTTGCTTCAAGTTTTCGTGATCTGCAGTCTATGGTGTCACGGACGAACAAGGTTGCTAAGTCGGTTGGTTTATCCGTAAACGCTGGGAAGACTAAAGTGTTTTCAAGCTGCATCCCTCACCAGGAAAAGGCACCCCTCGGGGTTGACGGCTGTCAACTTGACGAAATAGACGGTTTTAAATACCTCGAGGCGAGGCTGCTGCCGAACGACCAGCGTAAGGATGACAGTGTCACCCGGACTGATGCTGTCCGACGGGTTTTCTCAAGCCTTATGGATCCAATGCGACCTCTTCATCGCCACCAAGATCCCGTGTATCGTGCGTCTGTGCGGTCTGTCTTTCTTTATGGTTGTGCTGTCTCAAATGAGACAGTCCCCGCTCGTCGCGACAACATTGCAAGGATAACTCAGGTTATTCAAGATAGACGACTGAGGTGGTTCGGGCACGTTGTCCGTCGTCCACCTCAGGAGCTTAGTGTTACTGCCCTCGATCCAGCACCGTTACCTCATTGGAGGCGTTGAACAGGGGTCAACAAAAAACCTGGCTCGACACAGTTCGTCAAGACATAGAGTTAGTTCGTGGATCCTCAGTATTCGGTCTTCGTCGTTGACTAAGAGAATGAGTTGAACTGTCCAGATCTGCTGTCGCGGATCGTCACGCGTCGAGAGGCACAGTTCGGACCATCATGGAGACCGGCTAGATCAGACATGATCGGAGCTGTACCGAATTCCAAGTAGTACCAACGACAGAGACTGAATACCGAAGGTTGAAGAACCACTTCCATGTCTTGGTGAACCGTGTCGAACTAGGCCGTGAGTTGACCTCATCGACATCACCAGGGCATCGCCGAATACAGTGTCTTGGGCCCTTGTAGAATATCGTTGGGGTTCTGCGTTTATTTCGAGGTATCTGAAATCCTTGTGGTGGAGGACGGTTCGAGGTAACCTTTATCACGTATCTAGCACGGTCCTTGAATGTGACAGAGATAAGCGCATTCCACAAGTACATCCTCAGCAGTCTCTTCCTCAATTACAGTTAAGGCCATCCACCTTGTCAATCACGAGCCTTAGTTTCCGTCTGCCTGTGGTTAGATTTGGTAGGGAGACCCCGACCTATGGGGACGGCGAGTCTTCTTCCGACTATAGGATCGCTGATGTCCTCGATGTTTCCAAGGGCGCCTTCGCAGTTACCTCCCCTGCCTGACCCATTCATAAAGTCCGTCCAGTCGTAGCGTTTCCACTCACTTTCTGGCATGACACTGTCGGCATCTAAGGGAGCGAATATCAGCGTAGAATGCACCACCCCCTCATCTTCTGCTCTTGGATACGATGACACATTGTCAGTGGCGTGGGCGGGAACAAAACGCCAATTACTTGTTGGCGTCAAAGAACATTAAAACAACTGATCTGTGGAAGGCGAAAAGTAGCGGAAATGACTCCTCAATTGTTGTTTTGCAGTTTACTAGGTCTAGTTTTTGAACTCAAATCATTAGTTTTTAATCGGTAACCATACGCCAGCAATGCGACTCAACCCAATTTGGTGTAAATGTCTTCAATATTTGACGAGGTTGAGCGAAAAAGGGAGGGAGGAGGTAGGACGTTGGAGTTTCACCTTTGTGGCTTGTGGAGATTGTGTCACAACTAAATCCAACTTGTGCCTGTATGCGTCTCAGACAACTCTGAATGGATCTGCCATCTTTGCTGAAGCTCAGAATAGCCGTAGAAGGCTTTCAAACGTGGGCGAAACGCAGCTGCCATTGCTTTTGTTGTTCGACCCTGAAGGTGATAGCCTGTTACTCTATGCATATACCGCCAACACGGCGGCAACCCGTTCAAAACTCACCCGTTTTCGCACAAACTTTTTTGAGCGGATTAGGTTTGATTGAGATCTTGTTGTTTAGAAAAGTGTCACTTTCGCCATTTCTACTGCGGTGATGTTGTATGGTTTGTCTCCTCAATGGTTAGCGGGGTCTGATTTCATATGCCAAGTGGGCTGGCTCATGAGCTTGCACTCTAGTGCCGCATGGAATAGACAGTGCGGCTTACCGACCTTGTTGCTACGGGAAACGCATCAGTATGTTAGTATGCTCCTGCAGTAAAAGTAGCCCAGGATCTTTTACTGCCTAATCCGACAGTTTGACCGTCGTTCCCAACGATGTCTACCGTGTGCTTCACAGCAATGTGAGAACAGGGAAGGTGACTTGTGTATAAATTAGTTTATAGTGGTAGTAAACTTGCGCTGCATCTACCGCACTTTCTCGTCCTCCCGCCCCACCTGGGCCGGGTGTCAAGACAGAGTCAGGCAGACCGAAGGCGGGGGAGGCCGCAGGTGGATGACAAGGTCGAGCCCGCACCTTGGCGTTCCACTCCACACTCTCTGGTCCATACAGTAAGTGACCAGGCTTTTGACCATCAAAAACAATGGGGGGGGGGTGGCAGGGGCCCTATTGTGCGCGATGATTGCCGACAAGCGGGTATGCCACCGCGCCACCGAAATGCTGGCATTTTTTATGGTGAGCAATCTGATAACGCCTGTCCGAGTCCAATATGGCCCCCGTGTTGGTCCAGCGCATCTGCCACGTGGCCCGTTTAGTACGCACACCCGATAGTTGGATCGTGGCATCCAACGATGTCCACCACAGCAGGATGGGAGCAGGGACGGTGACTTGCGCAGGATTATAGTGAAAGTAGACTTGCGCTGCATCTACTACACTCTCCCACTCCCCTCACTGGACCCCCCGGCAAGACAGAGTCAAGAAGACCGCAGACGGGTGCACACCCGCACACAGAGAATCACGCAAGTTGGGGAGAAATAAGGAGAGAGAGAAAGAACTACCTCAGATTGTAAATGTAATCAGTGAACAGGCGAAGGTGACCGTCGGGTGGAATGAAAGAGAGAATGCGCTGTTTGGGCACTCGAGAGTAGCGCATGCACTTTGTCTCACAGAATGTCACCTATCTAAAGTTTGTGCGGTTCAAGGTTTTTATGCTGTACATACTCCCTGCTGAGGCAGCACAACCTCACCCCCCTCGATCTCGCTCTCCAGTCCTTTCTCCTTTTCAGGCTACGATGCAATGGCCCTCGAAATGTCCAAGCCACATCTCCGTGCGGAGTTAGAAACCGACTTAAAAGCGTGCGTTTTCCCCCTCTGTGTTTTTTTTATGCGTGAATTCATGATGCCCCCTCCCCTAACTCCATTCTTCTTTTACCTTATTGTAGGATCTGTGAAGGCCGCAAAACTAGAGAAGGTGCGTAAGATCCCACAGTGTCGTTTTGTGTGTTCCAGTATGCTAAAAGTGTTTGTTTAGTTCAACCACACCGCATATACATAGTTCAGCAGTCTGGCTGAACTAGGTTTTTGGAGTACAGCATGCAGTTTTCACCGTTTGATCCCGCGATGTCTCGAAAAGCAGGCAGCTTATGGGACTCCTCTTGTAGTTTTCTTCTCTGTTATAATGACAGTTTTGCATTATTGAAGCGTCCCCTTGATATTGTCCATAATTTTCACGACTAGAAAATAACTTACACCATGACACGTGCTTTAGCGTATTCTGTCACCTAGTTTGTCACGGAAAATGATCTACTTGTCTCAATTACGGTCCACGCGAAATGTCTGCGTACTAGATGGTTGCCTTATAATTGTAGCAGAAACCCTACTCAGACTGCATGTGTCGGATTGCGAGTAGGAAGAAGCAGAATAAGAATCAACCAGTGCAACTCAGTAAATAATATACCTTTTGCGGAATCCGAGTGTCTGCGATTCTATCCCATCTCCCATCGTGCGTGTTGCGACAAGTCGAGTTTCTTATTCCCCGTAATACGTTGTGCGAAATGTTGTGGGGAGTCGTTGTGATTTGTAGTAGCCAAGTTTTGCTATTGAATAACCTTAAGTAGCATTTCTTGCTTTCTCGTTTCTTCAACATAATCGTGTGCTATTAAAGTGTAGCCACACCAAGGACTTTGTGAGACCATAAACTATGCAGAATTTAAGTTTCTATGAAGCTACCACAGTCAGTATTTAAGGTTGATACGTATTCTACCGCCGCAGACATGTAAGTGTTTGGCAACAGAGGGATGTGTCTACTTTGGGTACCTTTGTGTAACCATTTATTCATAAGTGTAAGTGAAGAAGAAGAGGGTTCGAGCACCGAACCATTTTGTTTATTGTCCCGACCTGCGGAACGAGCGACAGTTATAAGGCATGTAAGCCAATCATCGATTGAGGGCACAAGACTGGAGGTAACTGCCCAGGGCTCTATACGCCGGTGCCAGGTCGATAAATCGATTGACTGAGTTCTCATCCGAGGCCCAGGCTTCAATCAATTCTCGGCTTGTTTTGTTTCCGACGTGGACGACTACTTTGGTGGCTGCGAAGTTAAACTCGTGATCCATTTCGTAGGTGTGGTAGGCCACTTGTGATAATGCGTCGCCTCACCGAACAGCCAGCTTATGTTCGTGTATGCGCGATTCAAGCATGCATCCAGTCTGGCCTGTGTAGTTACAAGAGCAGCTTTGACACGGGATGCGATACAGCACTCCAGATTGCTCTTCAGGCTTTAACCGGTCTTTATTTTTCACGGCCCTCTTGCGCATGGTGGCTATGGGGCGGAGTGCAACCCCAACACCTAGCTCAGCAGCAATGCGCTCGGTCGCCTCTAAAACGCCCTCGATGTATGGCAGAGAATGCCATATCGTCCGTGGTGTTTGGCAGATGCAGGTAATCCATCTGAACAAATTGTAATAGACTCGGCGGCCTCGGTGGACTGGAATCCACGACAACTTGACCAAAATGTGATTGTACTGACAGCCTCCGGTCGAGGTCTCATAGCTGAGGTGATGACTATTTATTGCTCCCCTGCCAACCGATTAGACGTATCTGTTTATTAAGTCAGTTAACATTTCCTCATCTAGAAGTTCTGCGCTCTCAGACAGCCAAATATAAAGCAGTTTTCGAGACTGCTGTTGTGGAGGCCCGGAAGTTGGATGTTGCCATCGCAAACCGCCTCTCACAGGAAGCTGAAAACATATCTGGTAAGACACTTCATCTATGCCCTTTACTTACCTCCCCCTTTGCAGATTTTCTCCGAAAAGTAGCTCTTTTATCCCATTATTTAATTCTGACCTCAGTAAGGCAAACGACAACACTGGTCAGTCGATCAGGGAACGGCATAATCCGAAGGTTTAAACGCATGTATGGGTATTTTGTTGGAGTTGAAGAACCCTGAGTCAGAAGAAGTGTCTTTTGAAAATGATAATTAAATGTGTAAAGAATAAATCCCAGGTGGATCGGCGGTCCACTTTTCAGCAAATCCGGTTTGTAAGTAGGTCTTGTTAGTTATACTATTGTAAAAATCCCTCAGAGTCAACACTTAATTATGCGAATTTGGCAATCTCAGAAAAAAATTACGAGGTCGTAAACGCAAAATGGTTCGCATATATTCAGGATGAGTTACTCAGACGATTCTCTACCACCAGCCGTCGGCATCAAAAGAGGATACTTGGCCGGACTCGTAAGGATGTGGGAATCTTAGGAAGAGGACGGCCCACCAAAACGTTTATTGAACTACTGGCGTTCCGGAGAGCTTGTTCGTCCTACCATTGTCAGGGCGTCCAATGCATAAAATTGAACAAAAGTGCAACCGGTGTACGGACCCAGTCGGCCTTGGACTGTTCGCTTTTTGTCCGCTACGTCGACCTTTTCGCGCCTCATTGGCGGGCCTCAGAGCTACCTGCGTTGTAAGTTATCCCCTAGATTGGGTGATTGAGCCTCTGCGGGGGTTGCTCGGTCTGGTAACCTTTTTATTCCTGTTGGGCAATTTGTTTCTCTTGCCGTGTCTGTGCCGTTTTTCTTATTCCCTAATGACCCTCTTATCCTGGTCTTTGTGTATGCAATGACGCAAGACCTTGTAAGCTGTAGGGAGGTCATAATGTCCATTGATAACGTTGGCATCTAAATACCATGCCATGGTTATTAGTTGTTCTGTCCTCGAATCGTCCCGGCCTAAGATGGTTGCTCCCTGACCGGTTTCTCCAGTGTGCGTTCAATAAACCCGTTTTGGCGAGCCCCTCCCCTTCTTCTAACTGTCACCCCAGATCTCTCAAATTTGCAACTGCGGAAATTGTCATTCTCACTTACACCTAATGTAACCTTTTCGGTTCTCTCCCATTTCAAATTTTTTTCGTCTGACTTGATAGACCCGGTCCCAGGCTTGCGCATGCTTGAGGGCTACTCAAAGGTCTTTCAGTGCCCTTCATGCAGCAAAGATGTGATTATCCGCCAACGTAAAGCCGCATCTGCATCAACTGCCGAGCAAGATACCACCCTTCTTAACCGTAATGGGTGAGTGCCGAAGTTAATTTCAGCTCCCGACAGTAGGTGATGCAATTTATGAAATGTGCATAAATTTACCCACAATTTCTAACCAATCGGGGACCGTCCCATATGCCACCAATAAATAAAGGACCTTCAGTTTAATGAAAATACGTAATACATATTGAACGTATAATCGCATTGGCTATGATGAAAATTTTTCTTAAGAAGGCCGATAATACTGGAGGAGCGAGTAAGAAAGATTTATGGAGGCAAGAAATTTGTCCACGCCATAAACTGAGTAAATGAAGCAGACTGAATATAATAAGGCATAAGAAATTTTTTTCTGTACGGCTAAAGCAGATGTCCTAGAAACCACAAAATGACTATATCAGTACTATAATGTTACTCAGACTGCAAATGCTTTGCTCGTTCTACTTTTAGAAAAAAAATAGAACTAGACCGCACAAAACCCCTATTATCATATGCTCAAAAGTTAAAATGGCTGCCAAATAGTGGATGCTTTCGCCGTTTGCATATAATATGTACATGTCAACAAAATAAGTGTATGTTCAAGCAAAATATTATCTGCAGGCGTTCTTACTGCCGTTTATGGCACAAAGCCAAATTGATCTACAGATCAGATTTTTGGAAGTAGGATGAATTTCCGCTTTTCTGAAAATAACAGGCTTATCCGCATGCTGTTTCACCTGGCTTACGCGCAACTTAAGAATCGATTTTGTACAGATTATTTCGTTAAATCATTCCCATTTATTTTAATGTCCTCTGTTGGCAAAACGCGCATGTATGCACAAAGGTGGGTTAATAGCGTAGAAAATTGCCGAAATATAAGTTAGTGTTGGTTTCTTTTTGGATTTTTTAACTTTTCACCTGAGAAAATTACTTGAAAACATATCACATCTTGGAAAAGAACTTTGCGGCGTGAGGTCTGTGGTACCACAATTCCGTCATCATGTGTCATGAGTTACGTCATCTGCTGTGTGCACTGCGGCCCGTTACAGCGTCGTCTCAAAATATCATTTTTCTGTTCATAGGTCAGGTTCTACAACCTGGTTCCTCTCCTGCACTGGTTTCCCCGCCTGTCGGTTCGCCGTTTGGCTGCCCGATTGCGTAACTGGTGTTCGTGTTGTGCGCCAGCAGGAGATGAGCTCGCCATCGGAAAAGCTCACGGTCTCGCCTTGCCTGCCTTGTTGTTCTACCTGTATCACACACCGACAACAGCAACAGAATCGCCTGACTGACGGAGCAGCTTTTCTGGGCTTGAAATTCCGTCTCGGTACCCGGTTACCTAGTGGCTATATCCAGGACGCACCTGATAGAGAGTGAGATCGATTTGGCTTTTGGTTGCTTCGGGTGTGTTGTAACATATCATCATCATCATCATCATCATCATCATCATCATCATCATCATCATCATCATCATCATCATCATCATCATCATCATCATCATCATCATCCTCATCATCATCATCATCATCATCATCATCATCATCATCATCATCATCATCATCATCATCATCGTCATCATCATCGTCACCGTTGATACTACCATTATTGATAAGGCAGTATTACTACTATTATCACTTTTGTCACTACTACTACTACTACTAATACTACTACCATTACTATTGATACAATTACTGTTACTACCTTGACTACTACTACCACCACTACAAGGAAACACTTCAAATGCGTGGATTAATAATTGTTAGTTGCACTCCTGATTTGATAGGCTGTTTTTAAAACCAGAATCAAACGGAAAGGAGGGTTTGATCCCGCTGATCCTGTTCAGATATTTACCAATTCTGGCATCGGCCGTTGGGAGCATAATTTACTGTCAGCAACTGTAGAGTACCTTGACCATGTTAGCATTCCAATTACTCTTTCGTCATCTTACGGAACTGAACGCTTAATCTCATTTTCGTCATAGGTAACTGTCTAGCTACAAAGTTCAGTTTAAGGTGTGAGTTGGCTCTCTGGACTTGAGGCAAAACCTTTGGACATGTGCGATGATGGGCTTACGAGTGATACTGCTGAAAACATCGCCCTCTTTTCCACTAGATATGCTACTTGCATATTCTGTGACACCGACTTTCGCACGGCGTTTGGCATCCGTATCTCTTCCACCGCGCCCTC